TCTCTAGCATTAGCTAATTGGCAATTTAAGGGGTATTCCTAAGAGGGCATACTTGAAGGGAGGTGGGTACCATTCCTCACTTTCCAGGAATATCAGCAACCAGGATCCCCTTTGTTCACAGGCTCTTTTCACTGTGGTTACTTGTATAGGAGGTCTGGAGGATACAGGTCTAGAGGGTGTGTGCTCAGTCTTTCCAAAGCCTGTGGTAGAAGACCCCTGCCAAAGAAGCTATGCATGCAATATGCCTGGAAATGCTATGCTCTTCCACACCATGGAGCCTCATAAGTACTAAGATTAGCACTATTTCCAGGCCATCCCTTTGTTTCCCTCCCTAAAGCAGGCCCAGAAAAAGTCTCTGGGAAGACTGAATTCACTGCGGCTTCCTGAAGTTTCTTTTTAGGTTCAGGGGGAGCTCACACTGTGGGGCAGACATAATTGTCTTCCACATTTCCCCAGGACAGAGACAGTCTTTGAAGCCCAGAAACTCTGCCTGCTATGACTACATGGCTCTCCCTGCTGCCATACCCAGTCCTGGCCACTTGGGTTTCCTTAACTGAATGCAGAACATGCTGCTTTCACTGTGAATTATGCACTTTTCTTCCCAGGCCTGGGGTGTGAGAGCGAGGGGAGCTGGTGGAGGAAGGGCTGGTATCTTCCTGGTGAATTGGCATTGTTCCTGACTTAATGTTTCTCAGTCTTTACTTTCCAATAGTTTCTGGCTCTCCTCCTTACTAAGACAACTGGTCTTCACTTCCCTAGCTCCATTCCAAATGTGACTCCTCCCTCTGGATGCTTATCCTTCCTATCCCTGAGGGAAGCAATGACTCAAGCATCTTACAGGTGGGCACTTTTTTTGGTGTCCTGACTAGGAGTTGTGAATACCTTAGTCTCTAAAGAGCTATCATCCTTAGAAAGATTCCTTTTGCTGCACAATAAGCCTCCCTTACACTTTGGTATAAAGCAACCACTGTTTTATTTGTTCTAGATCTGTGGATCAACATTTGGACTAGGCTTAGCTGAATGAGTCTCCTGCTGGCCTCTCTTTGAATTCCTGAGTATAGTTGGAGTTATCTTTTGGTTTTTGATTGGGATGGCTAGTCTAGGGTGGCCTCACTCAAATTGCTGATTATATCCAATGACTACCCATATCCAAGGATATCCTTGGCTTATATGTTTTCTAGCAATGAGAAAGAAAATCCCATTGTGCAAGCACTTTTCAAGTCTCTGCTTGTATCTCATTTGCTCCACCATCAGCCAAGGCTCATGGTATCCCAGAGTTCCTGTGGGAGAGAATTATACAAGAGAATTAATAAGAGCATTAAAACACAGGTATGATTCATTGAAGGCCATTACTGTAACAAGCTACCACAAATACCATTTTCTTCTTTGTATCTCAGTAAGTGTTTTCAGAGATGTATAAAGAAGAGACATAATAGAATTTAAAGGACAGAAGGATTTCTGAGGCGAAAAATTCAGGAAAAGGTTTTATGATGTCATTTACGTTGGAGAGTCTGATTTCATTAGCAGTTGTAAATTGCTGATTTTCTACATCTTTCATTCCTTCTGTGTATGTTAACTGACATTTTTTCTCTCAAGAACTTTTCATCGCCAATCAGGGCTATTTGGTTACCATGACTTTAAGTACATACTGGAATGGCAGGATGAATTCTTTACCTTTTACTACTCATTTTCAGAATAAGAGCTTACTGTAGTGCTGATCAATGAGGCTCCTTGTCTTTTTACTTTCTCTTGAGAAAATAGAACTCATGGGTTTTTAAAAAATGTATTTTTTTAAAGATTTATTTATTTTTATACAAGAACAGGTGTATAAGCCAGATGTGTGGGAGGGTGAGAGGATTCCCCTGCGACACAGTGGGGAAACAGATCAGGCAGACCAACCGAAATACACTGCTGAGGGGAGCAGCGGGTGAGGCGAGAGAGGTCTGCCCCGCCATGTGGGTATCTCCGCGGCTGGTGGGGATTGAACCGGCTCTGCAGAGGCTGTGGACAGCTTCACAGGGCTGCACTCAACCACCTGCGCCACCAGGGAGACCCCTAAAAAGTATATTTTATGAACTCATGGCTTTCATTTATATGCTTATTTGGTTTACAATTGAAGTCAGTGTGAGTTTTTGATTGTCCCAGTTTTAGCTAGTGGATGTGCCTTCAAGATAACTTTTTGCCGTTTTGTTTGATAGCTCTTTGCTTTTTGGAACAATATCTCCTAGTTCATTTTTTTAAATTTAATTTAATTTTATATTTTTTTACATCATTTTCCATTTTTGCACAGTGTATGCATTTTCATGTTGGTTATATTCTGCATACAATTCCTACCCCCCTTATTTTGACCCTAATTCCTCCCCTATCCAGTGTGTCTCTGGTTTATAGTTGCTTGTTGATTTTGATTTTTACTTTATTATAATGAGTCTTTTTTTCCTGGTCCCTTATTTAGGTTTTCTAAATTCCTGCTATGAGTGAGACCATCCGGTATTTTTCGTTTTCTTTCTGGCTTATTTCTCTGAGCATGATCCCTTCCAGCTCCATCAATATTGCTGTAAATTGCATGAGTTTCTTTTTTTTTTTTTTGATTGCTGAGTAATATTCCATTGTGTATATGTACCACATCTTCTTGATCCAGTCATCTATTTGGGGGCATTTGGGTTGTTTCCATAGCTTAGCTATTGTAAATAGTGCTGCTATAAACATAGGGGTACAGGTGCCCTTTTGAATTAATGATTCTGTGTCCTTTGGGTAAATGCCTAGCAGTGGAGTTGCTGGATCATATGGAAGCTCTATGTTTAGTAGGTCAAGAAATCTCCACACAGCTCTCCGTACGGGTTGTGCCAGTTTGCACTCCCACCAACAGTGCAGGAGAGTTCCTTTTTCTTTACATCCTTGCCAACATTTGTTGTAGCTAGTTTTTTTAATATGTGCCATTTTCACTGGTGTAAGATGGTATCTCATTGTAGTTTTGATTTGCATTTCCCTGATTACAAGTGATGCTGAACATTTTTTCATATGCCTGGTGGCCATTTGCATTTCCTCTTTGGAGAAGTTCCTTTTTAGCTCTTCTGCTCATTTTTATTTTTAAAGATTTATTTATGTATTTATTTAATACATAAATTAAAGCACTGGGTACAGTCAGAAGTGCAGGAGGGTGAGAGAATTCACCAGAGCCAGAGCGGGGAGCAGAACAGGCAGACTGACGAAGTACACTGCTGAGGGGAGCAGCGGGCGTGGCAGGAGAGGTTTGTCGTGCCAAGTGGGACCCTCGCTGGTGGCTAGGGATCGAACCGGTGCTGCAGAGGCTGCGGGCAGCTTCGCAGCCCAGTGCTCAACTGCTGTGCCACTGGGGAGGCCCTGCCCATTTTTTGACTGGATTATTTACTTTGTTTTTGTTGAGTCTCTTCAGCTCTTTATAGATTTTTATGATCAGTCCTTTATCATTAGTGTTATGTGCAAAATTTTCTCACCCAGTTCATTTTATAAAATTCCTTCTCCAGTCCTAGAATCAACTATTTCTTCAAAATATCCTGGTTCCTTTTAGTAGGGAATGGTACTTAGACACCAGAGTCTGAGCACTTAGAGTGCTCATTACTTCTGGGTTGTCATTGCTTTTCTTTTTTTTTTTAAAGATTTATTTATTTACACATACAAGAGCTGGGGTACAGGCCAGAGGTGTGGGGGTGGGGTTGAGAGGATTCACCAGAGACAGAGTGGGGAACAGAACAGGCAGATTGACCGAAATACACCGCTGAGGGGAGCAGTGGGCAAGCCAGGAGAGGTCTGCTGAGCCATGTGGATTGCTCCTTGGTTTGCTGGGCATCGAACTTGTGCTGCAGTGGCTGCAGACAGCTTCATATACAGTAGTAAGTAGAGTTGTGTCTTAACCACTTGTGCCACCAGGGAAGCCCCTGTCATTGCTTTTAAGCTTTAAAAAAAAGGATTTATTTAACAAGCAAAACAAGTTAAAATTTAAATTTTAAAAAGGTTTTTACTTTTTTTACCCAACTTTTCACTAGATTTCTAATTCCTTTAAGGTAATGAGGACTATTAAAGAATGATAATGTAGAATGATAAATATTGGAGGGGAAAAAAGAGAATTTTAACATTCCAAACCATGTCTTTGGTTATGGTATATCAAGTATTGGTTACTGACTGGTAATGGTTAGTATAGGTGATAGAAGAATGGATGATTAGATAGTTTGGACTCTGTTGGTCTTTTTAACACCAAATAGTTATAGTTATAGTTTAGTTGGTATAGTGCAGAGAGAAATGCAGGAGGAATAAGATTTGCATAGTTCAGCTTCTTTCTGACTTTTGTTAAAGAGAGACTTTCTTGAGTAGTCCTTTAGTCATTTTGAATCTGCTTTCTCATTTATGAAGATGACTTTTGTTGTACAGCTCTCACAGATGTCATGATTAAGTGAGGTGTTTTGTGAAACACAGTTGAAAATTATTAAGCATTGTATATGAAAGTAAACTATTTTATTGTGAAAAAACTAAAAATGAGAGAATGCTTTTAGAACTCTTCATACACAGTAGTAAGTACAGTTGGTTTTCAATAAAGGATACTTTGTTATTAAGAGAGGACATCTACTTTTACATATTAGACTAGTTATTTTTATTGTTTATGTTATTAATCTTTTTTTAAAGATTTATTCATCTAGGCATATAAGAACTGGGGTACAGGCCACAGGTGTGGGGGGTGAGAGGATTCACCAGAGGACAGAGTAGGGAACAGAACAGGCAGATGTACTGAAATACACTGCTGAGGGGAGCAGCAGGTGAGGCAGGAGAGGTCTGCTGTGACTGTGGGTTGCTCCCTGGCCAGGGATCGAACTCGTGCTGCAGTGGCTGCAGATAGCTTCATAGGTTGCTTAGCTTCATAGGTTGCATCTTAACCCCTTTGTGCCACCAAGGAGGCCCTATGTTATTAATTTTTAAATACATTGTTAATACCTGCTTTGATTTCTTTCCCCCTTCTGTTTGTGTTTCAGACTCCTGGGAGAGTTGGCTCTCAAGGTTCTGATTTAGATTCATCAGCAACTCCTATAAACACAGTGGATGTTAATAATGAAAGCTCTTCAGAGGTATGAAAATAATAACTTGGTAATAAAATTCTGTGTTATTTAAGGGAAAATAGCAAATATTTTGGAGTAATGATTAGTAATTTAGACTTGTTGGAAAAGTTCTCATAACTTTTATTTTTACAAAATTGGAGTGCAACTCTTGAATAGTAGGCTGAAATACTGTATATTTAGACTGAAAATTGCCAATTATATTTAATGCTTATGTTACCTCAACCTAATGAAAATTTTAAATCTGTTGATAAAGAATTACTGGTTAACTAGTATTTATGTGCTTGTAATGCACATAAATGATTGAATGAAAAATTAGGTTATCTAGAAAATTTACTGTATTTGGTTTGCTATATTTACGACTTTGGAAAAAGGTTTATCTTTGGTAGCTTATTAAAAACTAATGGAGAAAATAAATAAGCCTAAAAAAAGAAAAAACTTAAACATTTTGAGAATCCATCCTTAGTTGTTGCATTAATTTTTTAATGACAAATTTACTTATTACAGAAAAAAGAAAATCAGGTAATAAAAGAACACAAAACCCTCCCATAGTACTGCCACTGAGAGCTCAATATACATTCTTCTCTGGCTTTTTTTGTCAGGTGCCTTTTTCTGGGCTCAGCTGTACCCAGTTCCTTTTCTCTGTTCTCCCTTTCCCCACCTCTGTTGATGAGTTGTTTATCTTGCACATTTCTGGGTATGGCTCTCTTTCTATCTGTTTGTTTCTGTTTTGTCTCTCTCTGATCTTCTGTCTCTTCTGTTTATCTTTATGTATGTGTATATAAGATAAACTGTAATATGATTTTACAGTGTTGTAAGAGCAAGAAGAGAGGAATTAGTCGAACTTTATTAAGAACATGTTTAAGAAAATATCTTTAAGAAAAATAGGCCAAACTGGGTTCCTGATATGATGAACTCAAAGTACTCAGCTGTAGCCTTGGAAAGGAATCTATTAATAATTGTTGATCCTAGTCAGACCAAAATCAAAACCAAAACCACCAGAGAGACCTTAAACAAGTAACAACAAAAATCAATACTGCATGGATAGTGAGCAGTACCTGATAATACCACTAAGTTTTCTTATTAGAGTCATTTCCCTACTCTCTCAGATAGTTATACTCACTTCTCTATTCTGAAATCTCCCATGTCTCTTAACCGGTTTTCACCTTTCCTCAGCCACCTTTTATATGAGATCATTGAGAAAATGGGAACTTCTAGATGAGTGTCTTCATTTTGTCACCATGTAGTTGCACCTGCATTCTCTTTCTTTAGTACAGAGGAGACAGGTAGGGTTCTTTTCCTGTTAAATTGCAATCATATCTCTGTGCTTTGGATTCCACTCTCTCTCTTATTCTCAACTTACTCTCTCTCCTTCCTGCCACTTTTGTTTTTAATTATGTCATGAATTATTTTCATCAACATAAGAAAATGTTGAGTATAATACGTGTAAAAATAATAAAAGAAGGCGGAGGGCTGAGCAACATGGCGGCGAGGAGACGCTGTGAGTAAGATCTCCCATTAAAAAAAGTTAATAGGGAGGAAAAGCGGCAGGTCCCAGTGAGAACTGGGACACGGAAGATAAACGGATGACTTCAGCAAACTACCCGAAGAAGAAAGTGGCCATAAAAGAGGACCAGAAGGGAGGAAAGCGCAGAACCCTGCTCCCCTCCCCCACCCACAGAGTCGGCATGCTCCGACCAGCAGAGAGGAGGAAAACAACACACTAAAACGACCAACAAGAACAAACTACGCAGCAAGCGGGACTGTGAGTGGAAAGGAACTATTGCAGTTCCTGCAGGATTCGCCGCGGCGGTGAGCCAACGGCTCCCGGCGCCATTAGAGAACAAAGAGACCCTGGAGGAGACCCGCACACAGCCCCGGGCCGGCCTGTAAGCTTGCGCGGGAAAAGCAGTGCGCTTGAAAAGCAAAAGCGGATCGGGATCGCGGCTGCCCAGGTCCCCGCACCTGCGACCTAGGCTTGCGGGGAGACACGCGGAGGCCCTCACTGGGGTGAAAGTCCCTCACTGATTAAGCAGGAACCAGTCGCCCAGGCACGGGAGCTGGTGCAAAAGGCGCCATTCCTGCGCCACTGAACTGGGCTATAGCCCACGTCCTGGAACTGAGGGCTTTGGAACTGAGACCCGGGGCACGAAGTTCGGGGCGTGGGTTCTCCACGACGGTGGGGCACAAGGCAGACACAGCACCCCAAAGCCGTTGAGGTTTACCCTACCATCCCCACTCTGTTCCCTGTCCCACGGGGTGGGGGGAGGGGCGAAAAAAGCCCCCCAAGGACAATAGGAGAGATCTCTGGCGCCACCTAGCAACCAGAAAAAAAAAGTCACTAACACCCCATAGAACAGGGAAATTTCTTAAGACTGCTTGAAAGGCAGAAGCCTCCCGGAGGAGACAGTGGCCAGCTGGGAAGTTAGCCCACGCCAGGCCCCTTCCGACCAGCAGTCTGAGCCCACAGAGGGAACAGGCACCCACGGCCGGGGCAGACCTGGCGCGCAGAAGAGTGTGCCTGAGACCGGATGCTCAGGGACTGAGTCCCGCGTCGCCATTTTAGAACAGGGACATTTCTTCAGTAAAGACTGCCTGAAACCAGCAGAAAGCTCCCTCAGAAGCCAGAGATGGCTCCTGGAGGAGCCAGAGGGGAGCGGAGAAGTTCACCCAAGATGCCAGCCAGTCCGAGCAACACAGTGTCCCAATGCATACGACAAATTAGAAAACAGACAGTAGGGAGTAGAAGAACCACAAGCAACCTAACAACTCCTCAGGAAAAAAGCACACCACAAAAAGAAAACCACCCCCCGGATTGCAACGACAGTAACTTGGAAGAACTTCTGCGCCTTCCAGAAAGAGAATTTAAAATTGCCGTGATTAAAAAAATGACAGAACTCATAAAGGAAAACAATGATCAGAAGAAGGAAATTGAGTCCCTAAAGAGGGAAGCAAAAGAAACGCAGGAGATCAAAGAATTAATGAAGGAACTAAAGAACTCTGGGAAAAGCAATGAAAGCAGAATAGATGAAATGGAAGAAAGAATAAGTACTCTTGAAGACACAGAAATAAAAGAACCAAACAGAAAAGGAAAGAGAAGTACGAAGGAAAAGAACGAAGAAAGACTTCGGGAACTATCTGACTCCATGAGGAAAGGAAATATAAGAGTTATAGGAATTCCAGAAGGAGAGGAGAGAGATGTAGGAACAGAGAAAATATTCCAGGAGATAATTGAAGAGAACTTCCTAAATGCAAAGAAGGAGATGAAAATTGATATACAAGAAGCAAGAAGAACACCAAACTTCCACGACGAAAGGAAAAATACAGCAAGACACATAATAGTAAAGCTCCCAAGAATCCAGGACAAGGAAAAAACAATGAAGCTGACAAGAGGGAAGAAACAGATAACATTCAAAGGAAAACCAATCAGGCTGACATCAGACTTCTCTGAAGAAACACTACGGGCAAGGAGAGAGTGGAGGGACATAGTCAACAGACTCCAAGAAAACAGATGCCAACCAAGAATACTCTATCCCGCAAAGCTCTCCTTCCTCTATGAAGAAAGAATAAGGACCTTCCCAGACAAACAGAAACTCTGGAATTTCGTTACGACTAAACCCCCACTCCAATAAATACTACAAGGAATCCTAAAGCCAGAACCTCAGAGGGACGAATAACAACGAAAGAAGGCCAAAAAAAAAAAGTTATTAAAAGAATAAATAAATAAAATCAAAGGAAAGACAAACACAATGGCAAATACAAATGCTAACATATCAATATTAACTCTAAATGTAAATGGACTAAACTCTTCAATAAAAAGACACAGAGTTGCAGCCTGGATTAAGAAACAAAACCCAACCTTTTGCTGTCTCCAGGAAACACATTTAGCTACAAAAGATAAAAATAGGCTCAAAGTTAAAGGATGGAAAACAATCCTACAAGCAAATGGACCAAAAAAGAAAGCAGGAACAGCTATACTTATATCAGATAAAACAGATTTCAAACTCAAAAAAATAAAAAGAGACCCCAATGGTCACTACATTATGATCAAGGGGACAATACTTCAAGAAGAAATAACACTCATTAACATATACTCACCAAACGAAGGAGCACCAAAATATATCAGACAACTGTTGTCCTCTCTGAAAACAGACATCAGAGAAAATACATACGTCATGGGAGACTTCAACACACCACTATCAACAATGGATAGATCAACAAGACAAAAAATAAGTAAAGAAACTAAAGCTCTAAATAAGGACCTAGAGCATTTGGGCTTAACAGACATCTATAGAACACTAAACCCCCAAAAAACGGAATACACATTTTTCTCAAGTGCACACGGATCATTCTCCAGGATCGATCACGTACGGGGGCACAAGACAAACATCAACAGATACACCAAGATTGAAATCATACCAACCATCTTTTCTGACCATGAAGGCATCAAACTAGAAATAAACCATAAAAAGAAGGCAAGGAACTTTCCTACCTCATGGAGATTAAAAACCACACTACTGGAAGACCACTGGACTAAAGAGGAGATCAAAGAAGAAATTTAAAAATTCTTTGAATTGAATGACAAGGAGGACACCAATATCCTAAATGTATGGGATGCAGCAAAAGCAGTAATAAGAGGAAAATATATAGCAATAGAAGCTCACATCAAGAAACAAGAAAGAACTCAAAGAAACAACCTAATCTCGAAGCTCAAAGATCTAGAAAAAGAACAACAAAAAAACCCCAAAACCAGTGGAAGAAAAGAAATAATAAAAACCAAAGCAGAAATAAATGAAATTGAAACTAAAAAAACAATCCAAAAGATCAATGAAACCAAGAGCTGGTTCTTTGAAAAAATCAATAAAATAGACAAACCCCTAGCCAGGCTCACAAAGGAAAAAAGGGAGAAAGCACAAATAAACAGGATCACAAATGAAAAAGGAGAAATCACAACGGACACAGCAGAAATCAAAAGAATAATCAGTAACTACTATGAACAGTTATATGGAAAC